GACAAGGATATTAAAAAGTTTCAGGTATCGAGCGTAAAACATTTAAAAAATAAAACAAATAAAATGATGAATTTGCATAAATGTCCAGTGTTTGTTAATGTTCGCCCGTTACGAATTTGAACCCGTACCGACAAACTTTTAACGTGGAACTGTATGTACATACGTACGCAATTGGATCTATCCGAAGAAAATTGAACGAACGCGAGGGTGTTGGCAAAGCACAGTCTCCTTTGTCTATGTATCTCATTCGTTGCTCCACACGAGATGTACGCTCACCGTGGACTATTCATCCGTTCTAACGCTACACGACGTTTCCTCGATTTGGTAAATCGTCTTCGTTATCGAATGATTTCCGTTACGACAGTCATCCGTTCTTAAAAGACGATTTACTTTTATTCAATTCGCTATTACAAAATTCCATGAGCTTGCTTCAGCTGTCTCGGCTCGCGAAACCAACGTGAACCTGAAGAGTCGAACTCGGAATACTTTTGCGATCAGATGACAATTTTTGAAGATTGCGATACATCTTTTTGCGTGCCTAGATGAAATCTAGAAAAAATCTGTCGATGTCGTTTATATAAACTAGATTAAAAAGTACAAAAAATTATGCTGTTACAAACGTCGTGATTTATCAGAGTTAAACAAACCATTAAATTGTCATCTGAGCACAAAATTTGTTGCGCGTATTTCTTAGAGCGGACTTATACGATTCAAGTGATCGACTCGCTTGATTCAATGAAATGGAAAGCGGAAGGATCGATTAATCATCCCCTGAATTCAATCGAATCAATCATATAATCAAATCGAATTGCATAAATTCGCGTACCGTAGCCTGCAGAGGACTATCCTCACTAATTCAGTAAAAAACCGCTTAAGTGAACGTAGAGTTTCTACTCGGCTTCTACTCATTCCTCTTCGACGCTGATGTCCACGGTTCTGACCCTAGACGAATCGGTCGGGAGCAGCTGAAGTCGGTCGGGTTCGACGCCGAGCATGATGATGCACATGAAACTCTTCCCCGATGCCTGGTCTCTCGGGTAGATGGTGACCGGCGCGAACTTGTCCACGGTACCATCCACGTAAGCACGTAGCTTCTTGTACACCTGAGGAAAGTGTCTCCTAAGCGAGACGCCCCTTAGTTTCAGCTGTCTCTGGATGTTGGTGAAGCTGATCTCGCGAATTCTTTTCGGTGTGTTCTGCCCGTTGTTCCCCGGAAGCGATGTCAACACCAGCATTTCCGGAGACTCCATCTCTCTGGTGATGTTGCACGGCGACGTGGACTGCTGCCTACCTTGGGGTGAAGCGGATGGCGAGGACACGTGATGTTTGTTGGCGGAATCCAGGTGAATCTTCGCGCATCTAGACACTAGTTGTCGTTCCCATTTCACGGCTCCGCTGGTCGGAACCTCGCTGACCACGCAGACAGCCACGTACAGAACGAGCCTTCTACCCGGATTGTAAGACTTGCAGAGTCTGATAACCTCGGCGTAAAGTTCCGCGCCCATCTCTCTGGCCATGAGATCCGACCATCGGACGTAGGTGGGTTCGCCCAGGTCCACGAAACCGTTCGCGATGAATTTCTCCGCGGCTTCCGGGCTCGAGAAGAAACACTTGACGGCACCGCGGCCGTGGAACGTGTAACCGCGCTTCGCCAGCGCCGAGATGTGCTTCAGGGTGATCGGGTCCTCCTTCGCGGAGGACAACACTTGTTTGCAGAGGCTACCTGCTCGCGAGTGCAAGCAGGTTCTTCGGTGACGCTGCCAGTGTGCTCTTCTGCACTCCCTCGAACAGTAGAGGCAGGTGCAGTTGTGACAGCTCTTGTACATTTTCTTCGCCTCCGCGAGCGTCGCCGTGTTGCTACACTTGTTGTTGCGACAACGGACCATCTTCTCCGCAGCATTTCCGTTCGCCTCCTGGCTGCTGTCGAAGGAGACCCGCCGATGAGTCAGAGGGCCGCCAACCCTCGATTGCGCCATGGCCGTCTTCGAGGGTAACGTGTCGCTACCCTCGCTCTTCCGTCGCATGAGTTCACCCACGTAGTATGAGCCACGATCCTCAGAGGCTCCTTGCACGTCCATCACGCTCCTAGCGGACTCTGCGACATTTGCGAATTCGGTGATCGTCAGCAACTAATTACAAGAAAAGTTGCGAGGAATTGTTGCGCTTGCGGCGGCCGTGCCAGTTTTATCGATTGCGAGGAACGATTCTCGTTTCCTTTGGTCCAACAAGTCGTGAAAATCAATTAGCATTTTTTTATACTATGTTCTAATTATGTAAAGGATGTAAACAGCCAGTAAAAGTAAAGTAAATGTTGATCTATTAATCTTTTTTGAGTATTTTTAATTGCGATAGAATAAATACATCGCCGTAACTAAAAGTTAATATATTAATGTTGAAGAATCGTTTCAGTCATAGTCATACTATCGTCCACAAACGATAACGGCACAACCGAACGTATCGAAGCAGAATGGTACGTGAGAATGTAAGTTAAGCGATGTCGTGTACATGGAATGAAAATGATTTACCATTAACGTTTCCCTTTATGATCACACAAGTGTTAATTAAATGCTTGACTAAACGTCAAGGGATTAATTTGATCAAGCGTTCGTGTCAATTTCGGATAGTTGCGAAGTCAGCTTTTTTTTTTTTAAATAAATAAGAGAACAAAAATGATTCCTCCGCGTGCCTTTAATAAAACACTGTTCTTGTGTTGCAAATCAAATAAAATATAACGGAAATAACTGTTAACGAACGGATAGAGAAAAGAATTGAAATAGAAAAAGTGAAGTCAAGAACGTGGAATCAAAAATGTTTGAAAATGCCTTACGAATTTGGTACATATTTTTAACGTATTCGCGTCTTCTGCGTATTCGGCGGTCGTCGTCATAAACGTAATTAGCTCTCCGGGTCCCAGATTGGCTAGTTTCAGCACCGGTAAATTCGTCTCTGATCGATAAGCCTCGCGCTCATCGAGACGTCTGAATTCAGGGGAGGCGAGACCCTACGATTCCGCCTCCTCCCTGAACTTTAGACGCCTTTTTTTCTCTGCAAAGGTGTAAAACAACATAAGTGTAAAACGGAAAAACGAGAAACAGAAATCGTTGGGAGAGAATTCGTCGCGTAGCGTTTTCCTCGTCGTCCAAACGGTCTTTAGCTTCTTTTCCGTTTCGATACTTTATTTTTTTCTGTCCTTCCTCGTCGATCATGATTGACAATGACACTGCGTAATGTTCTCTCGAGGCAAAGAAACAAGGCAACGGGAAAGGCAAATTTGATTTCATGTTCCGCTGCATCGGATCATAAATAATTCTATTGGCGTTTCACCCTTGCATAGTTATCATAATATTATACTAGGAAATTCTACTACGTAATGTAAGATAGTCACACTGACAATGTAACAGTTTTCTAATTCTAATAAAACTATGCATGAAATGCCAATAATAAAATAATTTACCTTATACGAGACAAACAAAAAGTTACAAAATGTATGGACTAAAAGGAGGAAAGAGACAAAGATCAAGAGAGAGAGAAAGGGAAAGAGAAAAAGAGAAAGAAAGAGAGAGAGAGATTTAAAGGGTGTGTGAGGGGTGAGTGACGACGAGGCGAAGAAAAACGCAAGCGGAGAGCGTAAATTGAGGACAACAGAAAACGCACAGTCTGGTTTTACATATGCAAATGTTAACATGTAAATTTCAAGCCCCATACTAAAGACAGTGACGTGAGCGTGAAACTAACAATGGTAAAACATTATTTTCTGCTCATTTCATTGCATATATTTTTAAAAATTGTCGGCACTTCTTTGACTTTCATAAGATTTGATGTTAAATTAGCAGATTGTTATGCATCATGATCCAGTATTTGAGATTCTGCTTACTTATGCGAGTAATGAATTTTAAACAGATATCCATTTAATCCATGAATTATAAATTTTCGTCCCGACAGTGTTTCATGCATAACGAATGATCAACTTCGTTCTCAAAACAAAATTAAGGATCCATTTGTTTTATCTCTGAAATCGATCAAATTGTTCTGTCTCCCTAATCTTTCCTTTGCCTTGTAGTATACAATTTTTAAATTCATGTTATTTATTAAAAGAAAATTTGTATGTTAACGTTTGTAGAAAACCAGTACTGCACCTATACAGCACGAGCACGCACACGCATATAGGTATACATGTAAATGTACAGAGAGATTCGCACAGGGGTAAACAGTTATTGTTGTTAGTCGAGCCTCTCGCCTCTCGAGAGGGACGTTGGTTCACAGAACGAAAACTTACATAGTCCTCCTACCTTGGAGGTCTTGGCGTAGGTCGCTGCAGCTCTTCCCGGCTTTCGCATTAGCCTGGCCGACGTTAGTTCGATGTCGCATGGTGGCCGATGTACCGGTTACGACGGGACCTGGCCCAGGACTCGGGGTACGCGACGCGGATGGCAGCCCCAGGAGGGAGTCAAGTACATCCTCCAGGGTCGTGGAACCCGGGCTTGGTTTGTTCCGCAGAAGAGCTGCCGTCGCCATCGCCTCGTCCGTATCACTCTGGCCCGATCCTAATTAATCGGTTTCGGTTTCATGCACGGGGTCAAGAAAGAGACCGAGACTTCGCCGCGTCATTCCCTTGGCCTTAAAAACGTTTCGTTCGTCCGCTCGTCACGTCACGTTCTGTCGTACCAATTGCACATGTATTTTTACGTCGGTCGTCAGGTCGAATCATTCGTTTCTTCGATCGTGATTCTTTTATGTCGTCTAGTCATAATATGCGATTAGATCAAACAATTCTTTTAACAATCGCAGCAAAGTTTATATCGGACAAGCATCTTCACAGAAAGTATATTAAACAATTATTAAACGACTAAGTAGTGCTCATTATCTACTTTTTTATCAATGAACGAACAATCGCTTGTTTGATCCAAACGCATTTTTGTATGTGTTTAGTTTTGGTTTTCGTTTTGTATGTCTAACCCTTTGACAATCTAAACTTCATCCTGTAACGGATTCTCCATGTAAACTGTAAAAGGGTTAAAGGCGCAGAAACGTTTCGGGTAATTATCGATGAAGGAACAATTGTACAACAGATGCGAAAACCACAAAAAAATGTTCATAAGTTTACTATTCTTTTCTGTTGCCTTTAAAACGTGCGACAAATGGATATGAATTGTATCGTGCACACCTGTTTGTCTAAAGTGGTGTAAATCTTGAAAATGTTTCATAACAAGTACCGTACGATCATCGACCGCTACTCGAAACGTTTTTCACCAAAAGCGTGTACGCGGGAAGGTCGAAGAATCTTTTAGGCGACCATCAAGGTTCTAGGGTGCTCGTCACGCGTTTTCTGTTAGGGTGTACGTTAAGGATCCTTTCACGCGTCACTTTGCCTACCCCGTGGTTCAACTACCACGTCAATGGCTGCACAAAGCATTCGTTTTACTATTACACTGTAGCCCATCGCACTCATCATTCGTTGGTTTTTAACAAACACGAATGAAGTCACCTTAAAATTAATTTAATGGATTCTCTTTCATTGGCTAATTAAAATGTCTTTAAAATGTTTTTGAAAATGTTTTATAAAATGTATATGTTTATAATAAACTGTTGCTACCACAGTTCCTCAATCTTATAAAGAGACATCGTTGCAAATTATCAGTTCCAATGCATTTTTATCAGTTCCAAATAGTAGAGGAATTCTATAAAGTGTAATTGCAATTCTCAGATTGTCGAGATAATACGTAGAGATGAAGAATTCAAGGTAACTTCATATACGAATTTACAAGAATTCCGACGCTCATCCTTGGTCGCTTGTGTTCTTACCTTGATCGAGCGAAAGAAACGAGCCGGTGGCTCGTCTCATACCGAGTTCCCGGAGCATCGGAAATTGTTTCAAGAGGTCTCTTCGGGAGACTCTCTTCCGTAACGAGCACCCACAATTTCCTTCGTCTTAGCGAAAGTTTCGGTGCTAGTTCGTTAACTTTGGTTCAGAGTTCGAACACGTAGATTGTAGACGGTAACAAAGTAAAGAGAGAGAGAGAGAGAGAGAGAGAGAGCACCGAGACGATCAACGAAAGTTGTCCTTCCGTGTATGCACTCAATGTTTCTCGACGAGTCGCAACGAACTTCCTCGTGCGTGGTTTTCGTTTTCTCTTTTGTGCGAAGAGGAACGAACGCAACTAATCGTAAAAACGAAAAGAAATGGATGAAACCAGAAAAGGGGGAGAAGAGACAGAGGTGTGGGAGGAGAAGTACGTAACATCAGACGCCCTCGAGTTTTCTTCGCTTCTCATCTACGTTCTCTACGTTCCTACGTGTGTACTCTACGTTGCACGGTGTCTACAGGTACTATAATAGGAGCTACCAAGCGGTCATACGCTAAGGCAAAAATTGGTATTCTCTTTGGTCCACGTACGTACCTGTACGTGCGTGTACGCGTGTGTTCTATATTCCTACGTCGAAAGAAGCGGAGAAACAGTTTTACTGTTTCACGCCCTATTTCCGACTAAAAATATAGACAGGACGCAACACGAGTCGCGAATCGTTCTCGGGATATACAGGCTACTTTTGAACTCGTGTTACAACCGGAAATGAACCGGTTTATAACAGTCGGAAATACAGGGTACAATTTTCTATTATCATAAATGACATTCTTGCACGAGAACAAATTTTCTCATCTTGGTTGTACCGCGAGTATGAGAAAGCTCTGTACAGTCGAAGAACAAAACTGGTAATAGGCGGATAAAAAGGTGAGAGTGTTCCTTGTACGAAAATAAAACACGGGAGGGATGGAAAATAAAGTAAAAGCGAGAAGCGATATATGGAGGCGAAACGAATAACAGCACTTACCGTGACGACACAAGCAGAGCGCATCAACCAAATTAATCGATACACGTGCTAACGTGTACGAACAGACTCATTGTCAACTAAATAATACTCCGAGAAAAAGAGAGGCGTGGTGGTACTCTGGCTAAGATTCTCGAGATAAAAAAAGAGAGAAAATAAAAGAGACGAGAAGATACAGACAGAATGGGCGGCAGAGAAAAGTGAGAGAGAGAGAGAGAGAGAGAGAGAGAGAGGAAGATCAAAGAACAGTATGGCATAAATCTACATAATATACTCTAGATCGATGAATATGTATATGTATATAATATAAAGGAGCAACAACGCAAACAACACAAAGGGTAAATGACAATAATTTATTTTTGTCAAGGATAATTACGCTCTACAAAGAAATGATAAATCGTTGGTGTTTCCGAACAATAAGTACGGAAATTGTGTACTTTAAGAAAGGCAAAAAGCACCGGCACGCAGAACCGTTCGATATCGATAGTATAGTAAAGAGAGAAAATAAATGGTAATAAATAAGAACGCGTACCGAAAGATCGCGAATGAGAAGCGATCGATTGAAATCTTTCGGTGTAGGCGCGGTAGCGGTGGATGCAGCTCTCGCATTTTCTGTGACTCGTACGAAGCACAATATTAGCGAATGCAAAATTAAAAAATCTATATAAGAAGAAGAGAGAGACATTGAAATAATTCGGTAGATAAATTAATATGTACTTATTTATATCTGTGCGCCTTTCTTACCGACGGTTCTGCGAACACTGCACTCGTAATTAAAAGAGTAACAATAATAATAATGACATAATAATAATGATAATTAATGTAATAATAATTAAAAAGTAATAATAATATTAACGCGTTTGCAAGTAAGTAATGATGAACGTGTCGTTTACGGAACATATAATACGTAAACCTTCGTTTCTTGTTGTAATTCATACAAATATCATTTCTGTAAGTTTCTATACGTATTCGTAATAGTGAGCTCTCTATCTAGTAGAACATCTCGTGTAAATATATGGACAACTTTACAGTAAACATACATGAAAAACGCAAAGAAAGTAATAATCTACTACTGGTAAAAGTAATATTAAAGGAGATACACTACTGAATATATCCGGGGCGTTTCGCACAAAAAAGTTACTTCAATAGAGGCGAGTAACGACAGTACGGGGGTGTCTGTGTAGAGACGGGAAAGAAAAACGAAGAAAAAATGTGGAGAGAAAAAAAAAATCAAAAAGAGAAAGTCAGGAATAGAGCAGACTACTCGTGGATCAAACGTGGGTTCCTTCCAACGACGAGGGGCGGTCGTAACAAAGTAACAAAGTATTTTACTACAAAGTAATTCTTGCGACGATAAATAAAAAATAGAACGAAAGTAATCTTGGCGTATAAACGAACGAGGCTTGTAAAAAATTTATCCGGTGATCTATCGACGCGTTATCGGATCGAAAGACCGCCTTGTGGAATGACGAAAACACAGTTTTTTTCAGCACTACGACGACGTGAATCCATGCACGTGAGGTACTTGCTACTTCTCTTAACCCATTGTCTTTTGATTATAATCGTATCAGATAAAATATTATTACACACGTATAAATAGAAAAGTAATTTTTGATAAAGTATTGGATAAATATCCCATATCTCTACAGATGCTTGATTAGATTCCTAAAAATGAATCATCACTGAATAGATATATGTATACAAAAATGTATCCTTCAACCTTTAATTTAACGAATCAAAGATATTTCAAAGCAAGTACTTAATACGAGTGAATAATGCGAGTGCATGTGTCACTTCATTAACGAGATCAGTCTTGACCTTATTTTATCGAAATTTTATGATTAAACGAGCTTCTGGATTCAACGTCATCGGAGAATTTTAATGAAGAAAAGAGTGTTTAAATAAGAATGGTGTTTAGAGTTCCGAAGCTTTTTTGTGTTCACCCTTGTGTGATGTGTTCATTACAAGAAAGTATGTGTACGTGTGGGAATAGATCCAGACCCTCGAGCAGTAGTAACTTACTTTGGATTTTCTTGAGAATACACAGAGCAAGCTGACGAAAACGATAAACGAAAAGAACAAAGGACACAGCAATTAATGAACGAAGGGCGTCGAATTCTAGTCCGGACACAAGAAACGCGGTTGTCGTTTTAAATAGAAAGCTAATGCAGAGTCGACTGCGTGTAACGTCAGAGATCGCGCTTCTTGCCGAATCTCCGATTCACTACCTACGCTGACAATGAAAGCACTGTGAGTGAATTTCCCGTCGAAGGGAATTTAATTATTGCCATACAAAGCGATATAAAATTACAGGCTATTTTTATTATATAACATATTAGACAAAGAAATATCCAAATGAAGCAGCTTCTGATGCTATTTTGCAAAAAGAAAAAAAAAAACATTCTGAGTCTGAGCAAAACGCTGCTCCTTTTGGACTGATAAAACTCGAAAAGTTAATCTGCATTGCACCGTTTATTATTAAATGTATGTTGTTTATACCGGGTGACCTATTTTTAGTGTATATTATGTATTTAGTATTTGCTTCGTTGCTTACATAACTATACAATGGTTCGTATACATGGCAATTTTTCTTTGTAAAAGATGGTGCACACCATTGAAGATAAACGACAATCTGAGCCTCGAATAAATCGATATGGTACATGCTCTCTCTGCGCTACGAACACAAGAATAATAATTGCACTTACGTGATTAACAGACTAAGCGATAGTATTTCCTATAAATGTAGCAACGCGAAAAATTCGTTCAGAAAATATCTATACAATTTATCAACATCGATCTCTTTAATACGTGGCAACAATTTTTGATCAACTTTTACCAATATAATTAATCGCTAATTCGCGAAAAATATGTACTCGAAATAAAATTTGTCACATTATTATTTGGCAATAATTACTTAATAATTTAAAAGAACAGCGTATGAATCTAGACAGGCACGTAGTGTACCGTGATGAATCAGAAGAAAAAAAACGGTGCGAAAGCTGCATACAAGAATAATGTGTGCGATCCTCGAACGCTGGATCATATCTTTTAATTTATACATACAAAAGTTTTAATTTTTACATACACAGCAGTTTCTGGCTCGTAGAAAAATAAAAATTTTCCGTGGCCGTTTGAACTTGTCGAAAAAAAAATAATATACGTATATACAAAGTAAGAATCGTGTAAAAGAAGTGTTTGCGAAGCACGGTTCCATTAAAATAATTACACGCTTCTCATCAAAGCTTTTTGGCGATCCGTTAAACTCGATTCTTATCAAACGTACGCGTGTAGCAATATTACATTTAACGAGATACAAAAATAATTTGTCGCGTGATCGAAATCAAGACGCGTTGTCGTATCGACGTGCGACGACGCTTTGGTTCTTCTGGAAACTTTTCGAAGCGGGAAGCGAAACGTTACGTTTATGTCACATGCGAATCGCAAAATCACGATGACGTTCGTCACGAAGACGAGAAGAATGTCTGTCGGCCGTAGGACAACTCGAGCCAAAAGACGTGTATCGCGAACGTAATCGACCTGCGGATAGATAGACCAGTCTCGAAAGCACGTCAGAGGAATCTTTTCTGAGAAGATCTCGTTCACTGCACTCTGCCAAGTTCCGAGAAGAGTCGTGAGGAATTCGCGAAACGTCTCGGTCCGCGAGAAGAAATCATTAACGGCGTACGGAACCAATTTTTAATACACGCGGAAACAAGTTCGATATGTTTCACGGTTTGAAGAACACGGGAAGATAAGAATTTGATGATTACATTTTCGTTGAATTCTCTAAGTGGATTTGAACGTCATTTTGTAAGCTCTATTCTGTTTTTATATACAAGATGTTTTAGAAAGAGGATAATACAAGTAATAGAGTAACTATTATCGACATTACTTCCGAAGCGCATGTTATTTTATTGGTGGAATAAAAATATTTTTAAAGAAATTAAACATCTTTCGAAAATATTTAATAGGCGAATAGTATATACAGTTCTATAACAAAGACATGAAAATAATAATGTAATGTATATTTAAGAAAATAGATCTCTTTTGGTACAGAAACATTTGTATTGATATGTATCTCTTAATTTTCCGAAGGTTGAAATAAAATTTACAAAAATCATACACATTTCGTTACGTATTGCGTATAACTACGTAATAACATTACATTTGTGAAATTCGTTCAATTTTTACTCGATTATTTGCTCTCGTCCTAAAACATCTTGTACAAAAAAAAACGAATTACTCTTCAATTCTCGTTCCCTCGAGAATGAGTCGAAGTCACAAGCATTCCTTTTAATTATATCAAGTAGTCAACAAAGTCTATCAACCACTAGATAGACGTGTCTCAATTTTAAGATCTACACCGAATCAGGAGGAACGTCGAAGAAAATCAGAACATCCCAAGCAATCTTTTAGTATAGAGAACGAATGCGTGAAGGGGAACATCCGAGTCGCGACGTGAATCGCCTTCGTCAGCTTTAAATCGATTAGCCGGATCGATTAGGTCGTGGAATCGTCTGGTGTGATGGAAACATAACCGAACCGGTGTTGTACTCTGTTCCCGGAAGTTTGCGACCGTACTCCTGCCCGATCTTGTATCATTTTTATCGGCTTTCCGCTAGGCGAGCAGCAACTCACCGCGGTGATGGCGTTGCTGTTGCTGCGGTTGTTGCTGATGGTGAAGTTGACGATGATGGTGATGCTGATGGTGTTGGTGGTAATTGAGCGTCGAAGAGGGTGACGCGCATAGGCTACCGCCGCCCTGTTGCTGCTGCTGGCCGTCGTCGCGGGTCGGCGTCAGGTCTAAGAACAGACCGGAAGTCGCGGAGTCGGCACAAGTGCATGACTCGGTGGCCGTCTCGTTGCATCCGGGACAGCAGTCGGTCTCCGTGGCCAAACTCATCGGCGTCTCCGGCGAATCCACGGGTCTCGTGCCAACGAACGAGCTCTCCATCCAACACAGCTTCACGCTCCCTTCGGAGGAGAAGTTTCATTTCATTATAATAGGTGTCGTCGTGAAGAAGCCACCGGTGCTCGCGTTTTACTTTTTGGTGGCTTCTCTTCAACGATCGATTTCTTCCTTTAGAATAACTAGAGTACGAGATACAAAGGAAAACGTGGTAACGTGGAGAAAGGTACGCGACGTGGCAACTCGTATTCATATAACTTTTACTGCTCGATTCTGGGAAGTGTAGAGACAGAAGCTTTTCTCGCGAAAATTATATCGTTCGTTTACCACGCTTTTCGTAGACCGTTCAACAATAATACACGAAGTTAATGACACAAATCCTTGATTAAGTCGTATTAGTAGCAAGCGCTAACACGGAAATATTAATCACAACGCAGAGATAGCTAAACGGATCGGCACACATTCACATTATTGACAAATCGTTACACGGGTGTGGTAGTATAAATAGTTAGTGTAACGCCGTGGCGAGACGAGGCCTCTTCCGCACGTTCGAAAGATGTGTAACGCCGAGAGCAAATCGTTTTCGTCCGTATTATAAAATCGTGAGAGCTGACAGCTGGCCACGTGTGTTATTCTCGCGGGCCCGATTCTCGTCGATGTTTGTTTTAATTTTGTCGTAAGGTTGGCCGAAGCGTGGCGGATAAGTTCGCTCGCACCCGAAAAGCGGGCGTACCCGGAGAGACGAAGGGGCGTGCGATTTAAATTTCAGGGTGATCTATTTCGGTGACACGACGGCCACGCCGTTACAAGGCTATCGAAATAGCAATCGTGGCCGACCGTGTATGCATACTTTCGACGAGACTGTCGCGATTAAAGATGAAGACAGACTTGAACGAGCGAGCGGACACGCGGTTTGAAGCTGCCGCAAGAGGAAGACAATTCCTCCCTTCTATTTCAATCGTGCCTATATTGTTTCTTTCTTGCGTCAACCACGATGTGTCAGAGTTAGTAACGTCCTGGAAATTCTTGTGGCAGTCTTCATTTCCTCTGATTGACTCGTTGGTTCACTAGCATCAGAAGCCAAGCAAGAAGTCTGACAATTAGACGTAGCAAAATAGGTGATTCGAGCTGATAAAAACTTGAGCAACAAATAGCTGCACACTGACGACGAGTACACATTTCTCTCTCTCTCATGAGTTAAGTGTTTTCAAGATTGAGAAAAAGTTTTGGAATTCACTATAAGCTGTAATTGCTGCACGAAAGATTGTCTGCATGACCGTTTGAGAAGCCTGCAGGATGAACAACGAAACCAATCAACAAGAAGAGATCGACGTTGCGCAACACGATGGAAAGTAATCTGAAGGGGTAGAAGGTAGTTTCAAACGAAACGGGAAAGAGCGACGAGCTCGTACGTTAAAGAAGGAGCACCGGTAATACTTTAAAAAGATCCCTGGCGTTGGATGCATCGCGGGAATACGTGAACAAGTGCAGCGTTCGCAGAATGAATGAGCCTGCTCGTGTATGAACACGCATAGAGAGGATACAGTTTTCTCACCATCAAAGGCGAGTACCGTTGAATATGGCCGCGCTTTTCAAAGTTTATTTTCGTTAGTAAACACAGAATGACCAAACAGAGCAGACAAAGAGAGGAGAGACAGAGCCAGAGTTTCGTTGATGGTGCTTTGAACTAGCGTGACGAGAGGTCCGGAGTGAGTAAGCAACAACGAACGAGAAATAAAGTTATTTTACAACATTCCCTTGGCGTTGTTAGACGAGACGTGTAGAGAGACAACACACAGTATTAAGGCAGAAAAGAACCTAGAGACAGACAGAAGAAGAGAGGCGTCTAGTGGTCGCACAGTAGAATGCAGATAGACAGAGACTAGAGATTTCACATCAAGAGATCAGGAAAACTCAAAATTACCTTTGTCGTAGAGAGTAAAAGTAGTGATGGTGTAGTGGTGGTGGTGGTGGTAGGGTGTTTTTTTTTTGGCAGGGGTTGTTTAGTGCTCACCTCTGGGGCTGGTCGACCTTGCTCCGCCCCTGTCGTCCCAGTCTTCAGGTCGAGGTCGAGGTGAGAGCCTGCCACCTCCACCAACCTCCTGACCGCTTTGCACGTAGTGCACAATGGCCGAGGTTACCTCCTTTATCGAGTTCCTTACCTCTAGCTGCTGATTCGTTGTCTGCTGCTGCTGTTGTTGCTGTTGCTGCTGCTGCTGCTGCTACAACGAAAGGAAACACCACTTTTATTCTGAAGTCTTCGGTTTGTTAGATTCTTGAATGTGAATCAATAAAAGTTAATTCTTTTCTATGTTATAACACTTTTGATGACTAATAAAGAAATATTAATTAAAATTGCGAGATTTCTGACTGATATTAAAATTACTACCGTATGATTATGTACGTAGATACATCTTAATGCTACATCTGATTGACGATGAGATTTTGATTGAATAAAAAGAATATTTCGCGTTGTATTAATAAATAGCAGTGATGTGTAGCATTTATAATGACATATCGCTAAAAGAATTTAATGAAACATTCGTTCTCTTTTTTTCTAAAGTTTAGAAAGTATTCGGAACGCGTACATCGCCGAACAAATTCCAATAAATGTTAACGAACACGCGAAAAAGCACAGAACAATTTTTCGATAACGAAGAGTCGATCAAAAGTTCGCAAAGTGGGACAGCACACGCGACGTGAGTTAACCGTAGAAGAAGGGTGATTCGGGTAACAGTCAATTTGTCTCGGGTTGCAAAGGCCACGAGACACCAGAAGTGAGGATTTCTGCCAGAATCATCTAATTATAGAAACGTCGTTACATTCGTGCGTTGTCTGCGCAAATTAAAAATAAATTGAACAAAGAGGAAAACGCGGAGGACATAGGCGAAGTAGGGGTCGGTCACGGTTCGAGGACAAATTTCACTTCGCGTATACAGAATCGATTATATTAACAGGATATATTCATTAACCGCAGACTAATAAAGTATTAGTATAAAATTATAGTAATCAAATTACAGAAATATCAATGATAGTAAGAAACTTTTATATTAAAAGTCTACTGCCTGTCTAGAGTCTATCATACACTGTATGTATAGTTACACATGAGGAAGGAAGTAAAGTGGTATGGAAGGAGTAATTAAAATCGTGAGAAATTTAGTACAAACCTTGTTCGCTTGCAACTGGGGAAGTATACCCTGAGCAAGACGTTCTGCCGGTGTTCGCGGGTTCGTTAACCGTTCCTGTGAACGCCAGCCCAAGTACGGCTGTCGATGATTGAAGGACGATCTCGCTGAACTCGCTGGCGAACTTCCGGCACTGTTTAACAGACTGGTACTCCATCTCGAGAATACTGGTGGCGTGGGACTTGGACTCAGAAGGGCACCTAAACAAAATTTATCATGACGCTTTAGCGTCTCGCTGATAAATACTTGCATCAGTGTAAATACTACTGGACGCGATCGTGTTAATGGTATGCGATAGTGGCGAAATAGCCAGTTTCAAGTTCAAACCCTGCAATGCCGTGACACCATGTGTAGTTCTTGACTCTCGTTTTACAGGCGAGTTTGTTATTTGATCCGGATTTGAAATGAACTACGCTGGAGAACTTTGATCGACGGTATTGCAAGTCGAACAATACGTACGCTGACCGGGAAATTTTTTTACGATATAACAAGGATCTGATAGCCGAGCGGATCTAACATTGACACAAACTGTCTTTTGAAATGTAATCATATGTAATTCGCGACATTTTGGAAGTAGAGGAGATAAATCATTAATGCATCTTTTGATGACGACACGAGAGGAAATGCAGAGCATGCGACCCAGCCGCCATTTAAAAGAGACGCCTCAACGAACCTCTACCCTTTTCAGATTTTTCATGCGGGCTTAAATCCGTGGCAGCGACGCGTGGAACACAGCAACCTTTAAACGCGTTAATTAGAACCCTAACTTAACAAATCACGTCCTCTCGTTAGAAGCGTCCTTGAACATTTTTCAACCGCCACGCACAAGAGAAGGGTAAGCTTTCTGTTGCACCGTAGCTAACAACGTGGTCTGGGTTCGGAGCTCGACGACTCCGCAGGCGAGTACCACTACTATAGCGGCATCGAATTAATCGAGTTAACTTGCTCTGCTAAATTTATTAGCCGCTTCCTATTAGCCGTTACTCGCCGTAGCCAGAGAATATCCGCGGGACTGTGTCGTTCGAGGAACGAAAGAAAGAGACAGACAGAAACGCGCATAAATGAAATTGGCTAACACTCGGAGCACTCGCTCGCGCTAATTTCGGACGTCGTTCGTCTTCTCGTTAGAGGAAGAGAGTTTGCTTGATATTGCGCCGTTTTATTACGATCCGCTCTGAACAGCCACTTGTCGTCGGCTCATTTCGATCGTCCGATACGATCGTCCGTTTCAGAGGATTTCACGTATACTAACCAAAAATGAATTACACGCTACTGTATTCTTGTATTGTAAATCATTCGCAAGAGCTTTCGCACTGTATTTTACCTGTAGTCGGTTGTCGATTGGAAGACGACGAAAGGGACGAGAGGGAAGTGGTTTTCGAACCGAGAGCACGCCATCCTCCATGCTGCGATGCATCGGAGTGCCTCTTTAAGCGGAAACCATCGCGAGCCGCAGGAGAATTCTTATACCAATCCGGGACGTTCAGTCGTTGCAAAGACCTCTGTACTCGAAGCTCGTGCTCGCTCGGCACGCGTTCACCGACTTTCTGCAACTCGTTCTCCGGCGGCTGTAACACACAAATTTCGATTCGATCATTAGCTTGAGCCTAGTCAGAAAGTGTATCTGAGTAAGTTATTTCAGTTAACGTTTACAGACTGGTCGCTTTTAGATTTTAGAATATAGATCACTCGACGCGATACGCATCGCGTGAAAATACAACGTGAAAATTTCTATAGAGCGCTGCAATTAAACCGGTCATTTATTCAATTATACTTGGCGAAATATCCCATCAAACATATCCGATATATTATACTAAACGTGAGAATTTTACGACGCTGTTCATGAGTTCCACGTTACGCAATTCACATAGCGCGTTTCAAGCTTAGTAATTGTCGTGCATCGATAAGATTTCTCTCTCACAATTGGCTATTATGGACGAGAGGAACGCGTATACATAATCCGTTGAAATAACCCGTTATGCGTTTATACTCTGTACTTCAACTATCTCCTGTAATTCTATTAATAACCTACCGAGAAGGTATGCTCTAAAGTACTTATTAAGAATTTTTATCCGTTAATGCATTTATTGTGAAAATTATTACAAGATTACTACTGACGGAAGTTCATAGGTCGTTTTGTCTGTCAAAAGAAGTCTCTGCCTGAAAGCTTGAGTGAAAAGTATACATTATATATAGATTTAAAAAATAAACTATAGAGGAAACGTCGGTAAGAAATTCAATTTGCATTATGTATTTATAATTTTCGACTATTTTCTCTGGAGAAAACTTCTTATACATAAATTCTTTATTTCAACCTCTTCGGCCCAGGAATGGACTTGGTTTTACAATTCCTATTCACTCCCACCTCTTCTACTTCCTTTCTGGAGGAAACTTACTTTGAAAACTAATCGAGGCACGTTCATTCATCCTTTAATAAGTACGATTTATGCTAGTCTGACAAACTGACCGAGAGTCGAGTCGTGTTCTACTAAAAAAAAAGAGACCAGAAAAATATTTATTCTCGATTTGTCCAGTGAAGCTTGGGATCGTTTCCCATTTGTGTCACGAATTTCCAGTTTTCCCTGTTAAAACGTCAATCAGCGAACGCATTAAGCGCGCCGGACACGCGAATCTGATCGGTGAAAACACGATGGGTAAGCGACGCGAAGGAAGTAATAGAGGCCGACTGAAATACTCGAAGCGCACTCATCGGAAAGCACTCGTCGGGAGAATAACCGTTCGAAAGCGTTTTCCAATGTCACAGAGCTTGCGTGCGTGGGCGGAAAGCGGGGCGGCCACGGAAAATGATCGATCAATTTTCTCGGTGGAAACGCGCGGGCGTAACTCCAACAGAGGATGAGGTGACGCGAGATACCTGCGTCGAAGGCTAAATGAAAGGCGGATGAAAATCTGTCGACGTTTCACGCGTAGGAGGCTCGTGAAAGTCAAGTAATTTCGTAAAAGAGCAACGGCTTATGTCTTAAATTTTCATGCAACAAGAAGTTGTCGTGAAACACTGGTAATAATTAGCGTCTATAGATAAAAGGTTAAAAAGGTTTTACGCTGTATAAATGGGAAACGTATGTACAGAAACATTTATAATATTTACACGTGCGAATTACGACCGGTCGATTCGGAGAACGGAAGTCTATGTTCACAGGATGTCCAAATTTAGTGATTCGTTTACGTTGGAATACATAGCTCGGCCGGAGTAATCAAGAACTGTTTTTGTTTGTAATACAGCTGCGAAAACAACTTTCCTCCGCTATCTACCATCGTTAATCCTGATGTCTAGGTCACTACCTTTTTGCAATCGCAAACACGTTCCTCGATTTACGTTCCTATTTTAATTCTTTAATGCCGGTTCATTATTACGCGCGTACAAACCTGTAAAGCTAATTCCCGTATTTGATCCTTAAACGTTTCCCCAGCTGTGGACGTGTCGAACAAGCTAATAATCCATTCTACCATGGTTTTTAACCTTAACTCGATTGAAGTTCTCTACGGCTATACGACCGGCTTTGTACGATCGATATGACACGCGAACGTGCTGGTTGTATGTTAACTATGGTTATTAGCATTGCGAACGACTTATCGTATTTCATGCATTCTCTCTGCGGAATTGAAAAGTGATCTGAACGCACCATTGTATAGTCTCTGGTGTTAGTGTTTCTGCTCATGCGAGCACTGCGCTCGGAGGCGATAGTATGCAATTTATGATGAAATTGACGAATATTTTAGAATCGTATAATGGATTTTTCTTAACATTTATTGAATTTTATATACCTTTAAATGGTATAAGTAAATGAAATTCTAAGTCTAACGTTAGCGAACGTGATTTTCGACAAGTAAAGACGTAGAACGTCAGTGACGAAAAATTCGAATGGGAAGTTACGTGCATTGTCCTACGTGCGCAAAGAGAAATGTATTATAATGATGTGCCTGTGCGAAGGCTCACGTGAGATCTCCATATGACATAGTCGAGCATACAAAGATGCTAACGGGACCTAATGCTGTCGAAAAACAAAGGAGAGACAGGGAACGTGCGACCGGCTGGCCTACGCGCGTCGTTCTGTTCCTTTGGTTATTAACGTTCCAACAACGGTTCGCCATATGCGTGGCTCAGGAGAACGGGGAATGTATGCGCGTACAGCAAAAAGAGTTATTTCCAGCATGGAACTTCGTCGAACCAACTAACCGGGTGTAACACCTCTTCAGCGATTATCAACTAAACCATTCTGTACGCACGTCATTTTATTGCAATAATAATAATATCTGTAACGTCACGATCTTACCTATGTATATATTATGTATTTTCACTTTGTCAAATATTCCTCAAATTTGAAACCAAGTATACTTAAAAATGTGTGAAAAAATGACATGCAGTTAGTACCTTATAGTAAAATTAATATTTAGAATAGAATTGAGAATATAAATAACGTTGTATAATAATTTTAACATTATACGTATATTCAACTTTTACATTAACATCGAGTACGCTAAGACAGAATCTGAAGTTCGATCTGTTCTTTCAGTAACGAACCAAAAGTTCCTTTTCGTATAATCAATTTTTGCAGTCGTAAAAAATTACAAGTCATAAGATGCATCAAACGAAGTATGAAATTTGAAAAGTTCACGCTGAAATGAGAAAGCGTTCTCCAAAAAATTCAGGTCAAGGCGATTGAAAAGAGTTTTCACTAGACTGAAGAGTTGCTATTTCATTTGACACAGGTAAAAAAAAGATGAACAACGATACTGAAAAATTGCTTTCTTCACTTTCCGTTTCTTGTGTCAACATGATATCTCTGTTTAAAAATGATAGTTTACTTGTAAGTAGTAATTTGAAGTTTTACGAATAATCCTAGGTAGAAGAAAAGAATCTGCTTTAACTATTTCCTGTTTGTCATAATGAATTTTATGCCATTATTTCAATTTCGCATAAATGAAATAAGATAAAGATTGAGAATCTCCGTTCCTTTAATCTAATGAAGTGTCCCTCGTTGCGCTGCGATGTTCATTTGTAACCGCGACGCGATCATGACGAATGTTTGGCATGGAAATGATGAAAAACTGCACACGACCGCCATATACAAACGTAGACAGCGCGTTAGGAAATGTAGAAAGAATGTGCATATCATGCCCACGTAATGTTTTACAACGAAATCGAGCACGTCAATTCATTAAAGTTTGCCTGCACGCGATCGGATTTCTCTCTTATTCAGTGAATCAATTTTGCTGCCGTTAATATTTAATTAATACACTCGCGCCGCGAATGGTAGTTCAGTAGTCAAATTCTGCTTGGGTATCAGTGAAAGAAACTGCGGACCAGGGCTTGGATCTGTACGTTAGGCGGTCTGACCTACCAGTCGTGGGAACGCGTCTGTTCCATTGAAAGTCGTTGTTCCGATGATGTCTCTGTGCTAATGCACATGCGGCGGTTCCGTGAGACAGGTTGAGCATGGTTCAGTACACTCTCACGCGGGGACATGGTCACCCTTGTGCAGGACCTTGCTCGACTTGAACACATGGTTACCCAAACAGAATCTGACATTTTGTATTTATTGTTAGCTTTAAGTTAGAGTTAATAGTTAGATATTTGCTCGTATCAAATCTTCTCCAATAATTGCTTCGTATATTAGAGTGGTAATGTGAAAAGGAAAGGGGTAGCGAAGATTGACCACTGACTTGGGCCTCGAACGTAGTCACCTCCACGCAGTAAGACATGGGTTTGTATCGTTTCCAAGTCTAATTCTTGGAAACTGTATTAAACGAAGAACTCCAATCTAGTTTACGAATCTGTAGATCTTAAATCATATCTTGACTTTTCAGTAATTTAATGTATACGCTAATGAACGTTACAATAAATCGAGAAACAGCTGATTCGATTTTGTTGGAATAAAAACCGAACGAATGAGAGACGCGGCGAAACTTGCATAATCCCTATAGATCCCCAATACTTCAGTAAATAGTAAATAATTCTTTAATCCAGCATTCGATCGTAAGACAAAAGTCTCGAAAGGTGATAGCTCTACTCGTATAGCACGTTTGTAGTTACAGTTTCTCAATGTTGACGGAATGCAATTGGCATAAAGGGGTGCCCGCATTTCCTCGTGTCTGTGAGGCGAGCGGTCAGCAGGCTTAACGAGCAAGTTCCAAGTGTAACACCGAACAAGTTACATAATACACTGCTGTTCGTGCTCGTCTCGGATGTCAGAATATCAGGCTGACTCGGTGACAGCGCAATTGCCCTGCGCCGTGTGGCCTCTCGGTGTCGTTTTCTATTCTTTTCACTCCGACCGGCATCCGTGTCGTCAATTGACGTAAATTGGGGGAAAGCCGCGTTAAAGACGTCGCTACGTCCGCCATTAGTCGGGCAAAGACCTCGCTTCTTCAACGGAGTACATGTGCATCCGCGTCGCATCCAAACGCTTGCATTGCACTTGTGCCGGTTTCCCATCTCCTAAACGTTACTCTACAGTTTACAACCCGATCGATGATGCTCAACTAGACTTAAGAGAAAGTATCAGAAGATATAAAAATTTTAAGTATTGGCTTTACTCGCGGCCAG